ATGCAATTTCTTCGATTGCTAAAGATTTTTTCTTTTGTAGGATTTTTTCTTCCTCTTTAATTTTTAAATAAATTAACATTTAAAATTACAATGGTTGTTGGCTTTTCTCAGTTGCAAAATAAGTCAGCCGTTCTCACAAAAACTTCTGGACTTTGGTTGAAAAGAACTGTGAAAAGAACTGGGGAAGCACAATGATGAGATTTACAGCAGACTAACCACAGTATTAAAGCAAAAATCCTTTTGTCATTTTTTGCTGGATGTGACAGTAGGATTCGTGAAGGGAGTTCAGAGTATAAATGTAACACAGTGCCATTACAAACAGTCAGATAAATTGTGGGCATTAATTAGGAGAAAAAGTATTGCATAAAGCCTTTTTCTTTAATTATCTCAATTCTAAAACTCTATCATGGGATGTTTGCTGAATATGATTCTCTGTATCAGACGGCATGAGATCTAAATTTCTGTTGCTCCAGTTATGATTTTTGGGTATCTCATCATTGAAACATGGCAACATTGTCTAAGCCTGTGATTGAAGGTACAGTTGTCACAGTGCTGGTTCATCTTATTTGATTGGCTCTGGCTTTATGCTGTGTTTCTGGCACAGATTTCTGAGAACCACATGAGTCTTCCATTGATCAATGTCCTGTCCTCTCCAGTATGTTCTACTTCTGAAAAGAAGACAGGCATGCAAGCTCCTAATAGTCTTTCTTCAAACTTCCATGTGAAAAAGTAACTTGATCTTCATGGAAAATGAGCTTAAAGTAAAAGAATCATGATTGAAAGAAATCTGCTTTTAAATTGTGCTGGCAAGCCAGGGTCCTCTCTCATATTCCTCAATCTCTGCTGACGTGCTGCTAAAGGAAAACCTTGTGAATGTTGGATACTTTGTGCTTAGGTTTCTTTTCCCATCTTAGCAGAAGAACTTTTAAATCATCCTTCACACAGCTCTTGCAGACTTGGACAAACAATCAAGAATTTTTATCCAAAGCTAATATACAGATATTCAATTTGAATTTTTAAAAATTTATTTTGTAGAGACTTACACTACTTAATTTCTGAGCTAAAACCTAGGGTCGAGTGGTTAAAAAAGCCTTCAATCTGCCCATTCCCTGGACTCTCTGGCAGTCTCATTCCCAGCTCAGAGACTTTCACTGCTGGCACCGAGGCCCCTTCCCTGTGACCCAACAGGCGCCCGCTTGACTCCCTTCCCCCAGTCAGACCAGGTTTCCCTTCCAGATCCACCCCAGCTCTCCCAGAGCAGAGCCTCAGATGACTCTCACCATAAAGCCATTTGTTCATGGCACAGCAACACAGAAACAGCCCCAGCTGTGTCTCCTGGGAGCACCCTCAGTGAAAGAAACCCAAGGATTTTATACCCTCACAGTGTCTCCTCACACAAGTCTCTCTCCTGAGTGCTCTGCTCCTGCTGTGTCTTCCAGAGTCCATCCAACCGGCTGGCACCAACCATCTTTGCTCCCTTTTCTGACCAAAGGGTTGGCAGCTCGCGGTCTCTTATCTCCTGCTCCCACCCGGAGCTCAATCTGCATCTCACTGTGCAGCTGGCAAATTGAGCTACCTGCACCAGATTTATTCCTCAATACTCCAAATCTCTTCTTTCTTACACAGATTTTCAGCAGCTCTTCTCTGTTGTTTCAAAGGCTTAGAGTTACATCTTTCTCAATAGATTAAGTATTTTGCTTGGATGTATTTTCTTATCTAAAAATAAAATTAAAAAAAAATATCCACCAGTAATCTAATGCTGTCTCTGGATCAACCAACCTGATCAATAAAATAATTTAATATTCCAGCCAAATGCTGAAAGCATAATACAGAATTTAACAACTACTATATTATTATGGAATGTTGCAATCTGCACACAAACATATACCAAAATATACGGATCAACAGGTTTGCATGACTGATTGCAACTTTCCTATTGCAAGTTCAAAAATAAGCAAATGTGTTGTCTTCCTGTCCATAAGTTTCTAATGAATTATTCTAAAGAAAATGTCATTTATCTTACACTTGATTTTAAAATCCAGCTAGTTATCATTGAAGATCATGAAATTAAATGCTGGATTTGTTATTTGTGTCACAATAAAGACTGAATGATAGAAGTTTCACCCTCAATACTTGTTTTTTGAAAAAATTTATCATGTTTTACATACACAAGTAATAGCAATTGATATTAAATATTTGAAGCTATAAAAATAAATTACATAATTAAACAAACTTTTAACCAGAATATCTTAAGGTATGGGTTTGTTGGGTTTTTTTTTTAATTTACTTTTTGTCAGAGTTAAATATTAATCACTTTATAAATGTTACTGAAGAATTGGATGATACATGTAATTACTGCGCACAATGTTCCTTGGTCCATTTTAGTACGACAAGAAATTTTTCAACAAATTAATTAGATAAGTTGCTTAGTTTGGGATTATAGGTGCATCTCTCATTATTTTTTTTGTTTAATTCAAGCTCAAGAAGAGCAGTAAATATAATTCTGATTGCATTTCCCTGATGCTTTGCTGTTGTACTCCAAAAAGTTCAGTAAAATTAGGCTTACAAGCCTTATTAGACACCTGCTGATATTAAGGGAAAGATTGGCTGCTATTCTAGCTAGTACTGGATTGGCATTTATAAGTAAACTGGTTTATTCCATGAATGTTAAAGCAACCACAATTATTCTGGGTTTATTTTGGTGTAACTGACTTAGACCAAAATTGAATTTGGCTACCTTGCATTTTTCATAAAATTATGGTATGCTTGATAAGCTCCAGTGTATTCCTGTCCATAATGACATTCATTCACTATTGCATCCTCTCTACCTTTTGTGTCCTTTTGGTGCTCCAGATTCTGCTTCATACATCTCTCAACAATTAGAATTAAAAAGAAAAACAAAACCCACAGCGGTCTTTGCACCATGTAATTGTATCTTAAAACAACAAACTCAGAGAAGTAAATTAATTTGCTAGCTACAAATATACTTGGTATGAATGATCTGCTGGTCTTGCACTGTCACACTTTCATTATGCACTGCAAGCATATAATTTTAATTCTTTTGGCAGTGTGGGGATTTAGTTTTGTGTTGACACTGGCAGCAGCATGTTAGTGCATGAATGGTAATGATACTTATTCCCCAGTTAGGCAAATAAAAATGACAGGCTAAGTCAAGCACTGCACTGAACCAGAATGCATTTTAAAAACACATCATTTGGTAAATGGGAAAAGACTGTTTTAACATAACAATCATTTATCGAAAGAATTTAATTAAATTTGTACAAAATGTGCGTAGCTGAAGGAAAGTCTTGAGAGAAAATTGATCGTTTAATAAACCTCCATTTTCTTTAAAATACTGAAAGCAGTATAAGACATAGTATTTTATCCCTTGGGTAATTAAAGAGTAACTTAGCTGGTTTTTGGGATTTCACAGATGTAGAACTCTTGTGACAGTTCAGATTGAAACCAGACTTATTTTTCCTCTATTTTCATGTATGCATTCGGTCTCTTCCTTCCCAATCATAAATAATATATCCTTGTATGGAGATTAGGTATATCAACCTGAGTTTTCATTAAAATAATTCATGTCTTTCTCTTTAAATTTATGAATATTTATCAAGGGATTATGGGTTAGTTAATAGTATTCCTTCTTAATACATACACATTAATTCACTTGCACATAAGTCTGAAAAATGAGAGGTGTCTGTCTTGGGACTAGACTGCTCCTTAGCTCCTGCTAGCAAGTTGTAAGGTAAACATTCCCTAACAAGCAATGAGCAAAAAATAGTCTTTCCTCCCTCCATGTGAAATGTAGACAGATTCTGCCCATAAAACCTTTTTTTTTTTTTTTTTTTTTTTTCACTTCAAGATGAGGACACAGGCAAAACACCAGTATGAGAAGTTCATGTTATCTGGAAAGGGTGTCCCTGATTACTGAATAATACTGTAAAGGGTCAGTGTTGTTGATATGAGCTGAAGTTCTGTGGTACAAAGCCTTCAAAAACACTTCAGAGAGGAATGGGAATGAGCTATTAGGCTGCCAATAGGTTCAACTCTTAGATTTGTCAAAGATTTGAAACCAAATTAGGATTTAGGACATGACATTTGGCTGATTGATGTCAATGTCAATATGCGACACTTGAATGTATCATACATGATTGCCACAGCTTAAACACACTGAAAAAATGTCAAGAGCATTAAGTATAACTGAATGGTGAATCTTTGATATGCCTGTTTCATATGGGAAAAGTATGGTGGGGCTCCAAAAGACAGGTGACTATTGGACAGGTGACAGTGAAATGGTTTTTTCCTCAAAAACAAGGAAGACAAAAAACAAACAAATGAACAAAAAAAAAAAAAAAACCCCAAAACAAACAAACAAACTGAACAAAAAAAGCAGAAACAAAATCAACCTCATGTCCCATAAAGAACAAATAATTCTTTGTAATTTAGAATGTCCCTAATTCCACATAGCCTCGTGTGTTGCTCAACTGTGTTTTTAAGGATTTCTTTGAAAAATTATATAGAATAAATTAGTTTGCTTATATAGGTTAACATTATCTTATTGAGACCATGGATATTTTTGGGTTTTATGATGTAGCTCTGTCTGTTCAGACTGCAGAGTAGACTGAATGGCAGCATAACATTTGAAATTTCTCCAAAATTTTGATATTTGTCAATAGTCTTTGGTCAAGTGGTTGTTTCAGTGTGTTGGCATCTATCTCAGGGGCAACTATCATAAAGTATTCCTTGAGGATACAGTGAGTCAAACTGTACAAAGCCATGAAGAACTATTGTATATGATCTGCGGTCTAGATCTTTGACTTAATTTTAGAATACCAGTCTGAAACCAGAAGTTAGAACCTGGTTTGCAGGCAGCTGGAACTTTGCTTTACAATATCTGTCCAGTTTTGCCTTCTTATGATGTTATAGAAAGTACAGTGTCAGGTGGTGCAGAATTCAGACTTTAATTCTTATTTTACTTTTGTGTTCTTCTGCAGATAGTAACTTTATCCTTGCAAATGCTCAGGTGGCTAAGGGATTCCCCATTGTTTACTGCTCTGATGGCTTCTGTGAGCTTGCTGGATTTGCACGGACTGAAGTCATGCAGAAGAGCTGCAGCTGTAAATTCTTACTTGGTGCTGAAACAAATGAGCAGATGATTCTTCAAATTGAGAAATCTTTGGAGGAAAAGATAGAATTTAAAGGAGAAATCATGTTCTATAAGAAGAATGGTAAGTCCTTCTGTCCTGTTCTCTTAGTCATAAAGAATGAAACTAAGCATAAATGCATATAATATATAATGTTCATTTCTAAGTAATAATTTAGTATGTCTATCATCAAACCTATAAGAACAGATTTGAGTAATGACAGTAGGGTACACACTGAGACCATGTTTATATTGGTGTTATTGATTTTATATCAATATGTTACAAAGCTGCATAGATGAAATTCAGGGTACTAAACTGCATTGTGAGACTGTTATTTGCACTCAGTATGACACTGTTTTTTCTGCTTTTTGTTATACTGAAGTTTTTACCTCTTATTGCTGAAGCTGTAATGAAAATACTCATACTCAACAAAAGATAAGCTATGTAAATTTTTCAATGCTACAGTAAAATGCTTGAATGTCTGAACAAGCCAAGTGATTTCTTTTCAAAAGCTGTTATACACAAACAAAATAATAATGACTTTCAAAAAGTGAAAAATTTCTATTCAAGTATGTATTGGCACATAAAGAAAATTTCCAGGCATTAAGCAACCCCATAGACCACAGGACATTTCAAGTTGCACCAGCAAAGTTTTGACTCCAATGGCAAAGCATTTATAAGGACAATTTCATAGTCAAGATGCATGAGGTACGGAAGACAGCAGCCCACGATGCACACTTCCCAGCTTGTTTCATTTATATCAGCTCCTTCAGTGTACTTACTCCATATATTCCTATAGCCACATTCATATCATCTTCAAACTGGTGACACTAAGTTTGAGACAAGGTCAAGATTTCAACCAGGGTAACAGAAGTCAAGTGATCCATGGACTCAATAGATCCATGGGTGTTGAGTATCACTTTCTCTTTTATTATATAGCTAAGCTTTATAGGCATATGTCTAGACCACATTTTCCTCATAGGTTTTCTCTTCTTCTGTCTTTATAAATAAAACATTTTTCTTTCAAATAATATTACCACCATGATATGCTTTAAAAACTTATTTTTTAAAAATGATTAGTGCATAATGACAACAAAGTGATTTGGAGTGTTAGGAGAAGACAACTTCAGTTTCACTAACAAAAAAAATGGAAGAATGTTCCTTAGTTGGCTTGTGTTCCTGATTGCTGTTCCTCACAGTATGAAAGTTTGAATTTAATCTGGAAGCTCCTGCTAAATGCTTCCTCATCCTAACTTTTTGGGGAGAATTGTGAGTGTTCTGTGTTTGGTTTGGTTTTTTAGCATATAAAAGAGACACACAGTTTCCTGAAATAGTTTCAGGAAGGTTACGCAAATAATGTAGTTCCAAGATGTAAAACATGTTGGAATATAGGGGAAAATTTGTTTTAAAGAAAGATAAGAGCTGCTTTTTTCCAGTATTCTATAGTGATAAGTGGGCATGATAAGAAGATATTTCAATGTATTTAAATTAAAGAAGTAAAGCTAAGACATTTGTTTCATTGTCTTTGTCCTGAATGATAAATTGTAATTCCTTTACATCTTGAAGGGGTGCTTCAAATCTGTAATAGGTATGATTAACACAGGCAGAAAGAGATTGCAGGTCAATTATCAGAGAAGTAGCTGAATCACAGATAAACAGATAAAGAGAAATTGTTGAGGCTAAAAGAATTCCCACTATACATCCTACATGCATCCCTCTGCATAATTTGACTGGAAGCTTCCCCAATACATTTTCTGAATAGGAATAAATTTCCCCGACTGCCCATTATATTTTTCATTTCTATGTGTTTCTGTACCGCTGAGAAACAGAAATGAATAGGTAATAAAATAACAGGAGAATTTCTTGTATAAAAGCTAAATTTATCTTAAAAAATAATCTTGGTTTTTCAACAGAGCTGCAAAGCGCAGGCTCCAAATTTGGCAAATCAGCCATTTTAGCTAAATGATTTTGCTTTTGGGTTGGGTTTGGAGTTTTACTCAGAGGAAAAGTTGAACTTCTGAAGCTGTTATGCTTATTCAACTTTGGTTTTGTCCAGAAAAAGGTTTTTAAAATATTTTAAGACATAAGAACCTTGGGAATGATATCCCTGAAAAGATTGTATGGATACATTCCAGTATATCCAATAAGGAAAATCATTGATTTTTGGGCTGGTATAATGTCAGGAACATAGGTCAGTGGGAGACAAGTAGCTAGCAATGCCTAGTTATCACAGGACCATATTTCAATGTCCTCCTAGGGCTTTGGGGTGTCAGAGGGAAACCTCCACCTGCCTTTAGACTGCTATTTAGCACAGCCTTTCTTTGTAGGCCTAACTAGAAGACCAAACGAGCACTTCCAAGCCTCAGGGGTAATTCTGAGCTCATGGAATTCTTCTTGAAGTCTCAATTGTTAGCACAACATTTTGATAAAAATTTACTATGAGGGACATGGATGTATGAATACAATTTACTCTTGGTTTGTTCTTCTGGATTTGGTCTAAAATGTAGATCACATGTGCCATGGTTTTTGGGGCAGACTTTCAAGGTTACGAAACTGAACATACATCTATTCCTTAATTGTCACATTTTTAAATATTTTAAATTTGATTTAAACTTATTTCAGAGCTTTTATCATTAAGTTAGACTGTTCATTCTAAACATGCCGTTTTGATCTGAATTTATTAACCTTGAATATGGACCTTTCACAGTTATTTAACCATCATTAAATAATTCACATAGCACCTTTGCTCATTAATTGTAATTAGAGGAATGATTGCTATAATTAAAGCAACTCCAGCAATCCACATACAATTTCATGGAAATTCCAGACTGCTCTGAGCTGATACTGCAGCAAGAGTGGTGTGCAAGGAGCTGGGTAGAATCTGAGTAAGGTGGGTTATCTGTCTGTGTTCGATGAACCACAGTATTTCTTTGTCATTTGGGTTTGGATTTTAAGAGAATAATGATCTTAAGCAATTGTTCTCTGACCAGTCTTTCTGAGATCACTAGGAGTGGATAAGAACTTTTTTCTATGTGTGTTCTCTTTTGGGAATTTTAATGAATTGTTAGAATAGGATAAACTGGCTGTAACTCCTCATCCTGAACATTTTCTGCCATGCTAGCAACAGAGCAATATTAGAACCATGGCAGCAGATACAGCAGTTTCAGAGAGAAGTGTCTTTTGAAAATTCAACTCAAAATATAGTTTTCATCATAGTTTCAGTACTTATTTTGGTTCCTCAGAAAGTTTCTTGCTTTTTCTTTGACAGAGCTATATTAGTTTCTTGAAGACAATCAGAAAAGGAGACTATTAAAAGACAAGGAATTTTATGATTGTTGCCTTCTTCAGAAAGTTTTAAAATTATATTGCTTAGGAGCTGATTTTTAACTTTTTTTCTGTTACTATTTCTAAATTTTCTTTAAAACATCTGCAACAAATTAAGTTGTCAATTATGATGATAGAAATGCAAATTAACCTTTTGGAATTCAAGTTAGTTGTGAAAAAAATGCTCACTCCTGAAGCTCTTGTTTAGAACAATCTAAAAGCATTTGGACACTATGCTGAGGAGCTATATTTAAATAAACCCTTCTTTTTCTGCCTGTCAGCTCTCTTCTGAAATTTGTCAATGGTGAGTACAGGTAGTTAAATGAGGTCTTCACATTCCCTCAAACTGAAGTACAATTAAGCAGCTGTGTGGATTTTTTTTCCTTTTCTATTACAGTCTAAGATTATGCTACAATAACCCAGATAATCAGTGACTTAGTCCAGTCTAAGCTCTCCATCTTCAGCTGCTGAGAAGGTCACAGGTTGGGTCCCCTCTGACACCATCAGATTTACTTCCTTTGTCTCAAAATTAGGTTTGTAGTGTTTGAAAAGAGATCTGTGCACACGCACGACCTTTTAAAACATGCAGTAGTCCACAGCCCTCCTTCATTGAAAGGAAAATCTCTTTTTGTGTATGTCTAAGTTGTGTGCAACACAGTGTAAACAGCAGCGGCCACTTGTGATTTATGGACATTTGAGAGACTTCACTGTGGTGACCACCATATCTGTGCATCCCAGAAAAAGGGCTGCTTACACAAGCCTTTGTGCATAGTTGAAAATCCCCACTGTAAGAGTGTAGTAATCACATATCCTCTGAACAGAGAGAGACACGGTTCTTCCATTAAAATCCTGGGAAGCTGTGTAGAATCTGTGAGAAACTTAGAAGAAAGAATTCAAACAATTACTATCTCTCTGTAACCATTGGTTATAGATATGGTTCTCCAGAGTGTGTTATTCATAGTTCACCAGTAGTGTGAGAAAAGATTCCTAAAAGCCAATCAAGTCTTAAGTCCACCATTGTTTCTATAAGAACTGTAGATTTCTATAATAAAGTGTCTTTCATGCCTTCTAATGATAGAGTCTCTGTATCACCTTTGGCTGTCCCCAACACCCCTTCGGTGACATAAGAGGACTGGAGCAATGGGTTTTGCTGGGACAATCTTTACAAGGTGCCTTAGGACTTTGGTGGAAGCAGAGTTCTCTTTGTCTGTGACAGTTAACTAGGACTCAAGGGACATTTTGTCAGCTTCTATGTGTACACTGATTTAAACACTTTCTGGGTTATGTCTTAGGCGTGTTCTTGATGACTAAAGGTTTGGTAAGTACATTGTAATTTCAGGAGGATATGATGTATTCAATTTCTGTATTTATTTCTTCATTTATTACAAGTCAGTAAGATTAAATCAAAGTATTTTATCTCTTCTCATCACTGCATGAGAATATCTGTTTTGATAAGGCTGTATCCATATCTGGAAGGCTGGGATTAAGGTATTTCAGATGAACAGAGTATGAATAGAGAAAGGGTGAAAGTCAGACCCTGTTACTGAACTCCTGGATTCATCAGGCAAAACGCTGTTTGAAGTCTGGGTGCTCTCACAGGAACAGCAATGACAGCCACAGATAAATGAAAGAAGGCTCAGGACATGAGACATCATCCACTGCCTCTGCAATGTTTGTGGTTGAATAACGTGGCTAGAGAATAGCAAAGGCTACACAACATCATTTATATTTAATACATTCCTTGTGTTAGGAAAACAGAA